GCACAGTTGCAAAAGCTGCTGGTTGATGGCCACAGATAGCTTGAGGCACAAACCAGCTGATCTGGAAGAGTTTATCACACCAGGGTTGCACTGCTGAGCCACTTGAGGTGTTTCAACGGAGCAAATGTTAACAGGCACAGCCATTTTTCCATGAGAAAAATGGATTTTGCATCTTGGGTAGGAAGCTTTAAAACCATGTAGATAGCTTCCTTGATGGTGAACAACAGATACGTAAATGTGTTAATGATAACTTGTAAGCTTTTGAAAGCTATTGTTATAAATTATAACTTATTATTGGTTCCTAATTTTACCTTGATTTTCAGGGTCACTGCCTTTTGGAAATGCCTTCTGGAACTGGGAAAACTATCTCATTGCTGTCCTTGATAGTTGCATATATTTTGGTACACATAATATATTCTGGATTATTTTGTAATCACAACATTTCTGGTCTGTTTGAACTCATTCCTAAATGAACACATAGTACCTTACCTATAAAGTTAGAGCTTTAAATTTAAAAAGAGTAGAAAAGGCCTGAAATTTTCTCCTATCCTTTTCCACAGGCCAAACCATTTGAGCTGTCCAAACTGATCTACTGCTCTCGTACTGTTCCAGAATTAGAAAAAGTAAGTGACTTTGTCAATTGACGTCCAAGTGTGATTTGCGAGATCATATGCAAAAACTTTACCAAAGTTGTCGTGATATTGCGTTACACGGTCACGCCACTGGGCCGATGAACATTTATATATTCAGAACACTTAGGAGACAACGACAACACACGTGGCGGCAGTCGAGTTCGCACAATAGACAACCCTTTTGAGTTCACAGAATCGTGACAAAAGTGGTGCTCATTTTCTTATCAAGCATTATTTCCAGGGATAAGACAGGCTCTCTAAAGAGTCAAGTGTCCAATGCAAGCGACAGGGCTGTTGATAACTTTGAAAGAAGGGGGATAATAAGAAGTAGTCAGTGGTCAGTTACCATGGACGGTGTGTCCCAGGCAACATGGAATTGACTCATGCATCTAAATTTGCAACTGTCAAATTATGCAGTCAATTCCACTCAAACCTGAAGGATTTACATGGAAGTTTTTATAAAACTTGCTGGGTTGTGCAAGTCATGTGATAGATGACCATGTAGTGCTTAACGTAGTTTTTAATGGCAGGTTCTAGAAGAGTTGAAGGTTCTTTTGGAGTATTATGAAAAAGAAACAGGAAGAAAACCCAAATTGCTTGGGCTGGGACTCAGCTCAAGAAAGAATCTTTGCATTCATCCTGAGGTAAGTGCTCATTGTTGGTGGTGGTTTTTTATTCTGTTCATTAAATTTGTCTGAAACAAAGAAAACCTACTGCCGTGAGGAGCTCCTCAATGATGAAGGTTGAAATTGGTTATAAATGAAATTTGATAGTAACTCTTAGAGCTTGTTCCATTGGTCCACAAAGAGATTTGATATCTTATGGGTGTATAGCTGATTACACTCATTTTTGAGTCCCTCTGTAGAAGTTTTATTAAATCATTGTTTAATTGTGACAGTGTATATCCTTATTACTTTTTCTTTTGACAGGTGAGTGCAGAAAGAGAAGGGAAGAAAGTAGATGGGAAATGTATGAATTTGACTGCGTCATATATACGTCTAAGACACAAAGAAGACAACACTGTTCCTGTTTGTGCACTTTATGAGGTACAGGGAAAAGTGATAAAAAAAAAGCGTGCACACGCATGTAACTTTTCAAACACTCTCTAAAACGCACATAAAAGAAGCTCTGAGTCAGTATGTTTGGGATAGTCTTTTTTTTTACTCTTTGTTAAACTTTGGTGTGTTGGATTGATAACAAAGGAGGGATTCCGATGTTGGTGACAATACATGGTTTCGTCCTGAGGTGTTTGGAGTCAGTTCAGTTTATATTTGGTAGTTTAAATGTTTACCTAGTCTGAAAAAAGTGAAAAATGGTGATGTGCGGTAGTTTTTCTTTATTCCCTCTATAATGGCCAAAAACACATGTAGATGTCCAAACAAAATATGCTCTTTAATATGCTTGCAAACATAACGAAACAAACTGGAAAATCAAAGCAAAGTGAACAACTGAAGTGGTTGCCAAAATAAAAGTACAAATGATAAGTTGCGACTAACAACTATATGTAAGGAAATTGACAAACAAGAAAATAATATAAAGGAAAACAAAAGACAATTACAAATGTTGTATGAGATGCAGGGACAAATGGCTGGTTTAAGACAATATGAAATGATTTAAAGTGATTGAGAAAAGTGATCCAGCACAGTTAAACAATAAAGCAGAATGAATAAAATCTACCTTAAAGAACTTATATAAATGATACAAACAAAGGGAAGTTATATAAAAAAAATGACCGAATATCAATGAAAGTAATCCTCATGAAGACAAGTAAAAGAGCTAGATAAAAATGCAAGGTAAAAAAAGACAAATCCATAATGAATTATGTTGAACTTAATCATAGTTATGACTTAATATGATTTTTGGAAGCAACACTCTTTCTTTGTAGAAATTAAGGCCTTTGTATAAAGCATCCTTGCACATCTAAAGGAAAATTAAAGAGGCTTTTTATGTTATATGCAAACTTTTAACAGTTTTAGCTGTTTAAATGTTGACAGGGTTAGGAATTACTAACCATTTGAGAGTAATAGGTAAAAACTGGTTTTTAAGCATGAACCTGTGAACCAGCCACAGTCACCCCATACACCCCCCAAACAATTAAGTATTAATAAACCTGGCCATTGGTCTTTAATTTTATTCCAGGCTTTTGACGAACATGGTAAAGAGGAAAAAATTTCCCCTGGGGTATATAATTTGGTAAGAGCTGTATCTTGTTTATTATAATACAAGACTAGTGCATTAGTTAGTTTCTTATCTTTGAATGGCATTTTGAGTAGTGACATGATGAAATATTCTACAGCTCATTGAGAGTTTCATGAAAAATCTTGACATTAGAAATGAAATGTACATGTTGTAATGATGAAACTAAATGTAACTTGCATTCATGGGGTTGGGAATCCTGTGATAAATGGCAAGAAATATTTTTTTTAGTTGAATTTGTTTGATGCTTCCCTAATTCATCGTGTTAACTAGGCTTAAGGGTGACTTGAAAGAATTTGGAAGGAAGAAAGGATGGTGTCCATATTATTTGGCAAGATATACAGTTAAGTACACTGTTATTGAACTTAAATCTAACTGAAATTAACTTTGAGGTTTTCTGTGTACACTGAACTACAGCACTAAATTGATGAATATGTACATGCATCCCACACTTGTCTTATGCAAGGGTGTATGAGCATTGTTTGATTCTAGTCCAAACCTTTTAATCGACTGGTCTCCATGGAAAAGAACATCTTTGTTACTTGGGATAATGGTGGTCAAGAGATTTCATTACACAGTCATAAAACATGGAAGGTGCCAAAGTTGTTATTGCTGTCAGTGTCCCTGAATTTTTAACCTTTTAATCGACTGGTCTCCATGGAAAAGAACATCTAATTGTTACTTGGGATAATGGTGGTCATAAGATTTCATTACACAGTTATAAAACATGGAAGGTGCCAAAGTTGTTATTGCTGTCAGTGTCCTTGAATTTTGAAAGTCACAGCCATAGAAAAATGATAAATTACAGGTACTGTATGAAATCATCTAGAACTTAAAAACCGATGACATTTCTGTTTCATAATCAGCAATTCACGCCACCATTTATGTTTTATCACAATAGAATCGTTGCTAATTAGTGTACATTGTAGTGTGACTGTGATATATGCAGAATGCTAGCAGGTATAAAACTCGTGAATTTTGGCCCTACATATGATTACTTGGATTAGTGTGTTGTTTTTACAGAACTGAGTAGTTAACAATTTTCCTTTGATTGAATTTGTTCAGATATATCATGCAAACATAGTGGTCTACAGCTATCACTACTTGCTGGATCCTAAAATTGCTGAACTTGTTTCAAAAGAACTGGAAAAAACATCAGTTGTAGTCTTTGATGAGGCTCATAATATTGGTGAGGAACTTGAGATTTTTTACAAACAGTATGTGTATATAATCCATTACGCCACCAACACACATGTTTCTCATATAGGGGACAGTAATGTAAGGTAAGGGCTTACAAATCAAAATTTCAGATCAATTTGATTACAACAGATTATTTCAAACCAATCAGCCCTGTTTACAAGACTGCAGAACACATGATATGTTGACTCTTACTTATCAAGCCCTTAATGGTAACGTTTTAAGAATACATTTTTTAATAGAATTGTTTTTAAGTATAATGTAGCTTTGTGAAAGTGTACTTCCTGTATTAGATGTAACATAAGATATGTAATTTTATCTTTTGAACAATAAAGACACACAGACACACAGACACAGACTCCTGTATATATCAAGAATCTACTCAATGAAAGAGATATTTCTTACAACCTATGTGGCCAACGTCTTCTCAATTTCCTCAGGGTTAATACTACAAACTATGGCTTACATTCTTTC